CCTTTGGGCAGATCATCTTCCCATCTTTTTTTCTGCCTTCCTCTACGTCTTTTGCTGTCCCTCGGGTACCATTCTGTTACTTTTTTGGTCCACTTTCCTGTTGTTGATCTCATCATGTGACCAGTCCATTTCCATTTCAAAGTTCGTGTTTTTACTTTAACATCTGCTACTTTGGTTATGTTCCTAATTGTTGCCGCTTTCCACTTGTCTTTTAACTTAAGTCCCAACATACTTCTTTCCATTCCTCTTTGGCATACTCCCAGTTTGTGCTCAATTTTTTGTGTTAGTGGCCAGGTCTGGCAGCCGTAAGTGAGACATGGAAGTATACAAGTATTATAAATGGTTTTCTTTTCCGAAATGGGTACAGATTTATTTTTCATAATTTCCCTGAGGGACCAGTATCTTTGCCAGGTGTTATTTACTCGTCTTTCTACTTCTTTAATTGATAGATCTTCCACAGATATGACTTGACCCAGGTAAATATACTCTTTTACGTATTCAATCTCTTCTTCGTCCACCTCAATTTTGACTTCAGTTCTATTTGTCATCATTTTTGTTTTACTAATATTCATCGTTAGACCTGCCTTTTTACTTTCTGCTGCTAGTTGTTTTAACATTGTTCTTAGTGTGATAGGATCTTCTGCGAACAAAATGAGGTCATCTGCGAATCTCAGGTGGTGTAGTTTTTCCCCGTTTATTTGAATACCGAAAGATTCCCAATTAAGTTGCCTAAATATATTTTCTAAAACTGCATTGAATATTTTTGGTGACAGCGGGTCTCCCTGTCTTACTCCCTTCTGTATTTTAAATTGCTCTCCAACGTTTTCAAGTTGTACTTTTGCTGTGCTGTTGACGTATATGTTCCTAATGATCTTAATGAACTTATTTTCCACTCCTTGGTTTTTTAAAGAATCCCATATGTAATTATGCTTCAAAGAGTCAAATGCCTTATTATAGTCTACGAAGGACAGGTAATATGGGAGGTCGTATTCATTGTATTTTTCAATAATTTGCTTGACAGTATGTATGTGATCAATAGTTGAAAAATCTGAGCGGAATCCCGCTTGTTCTCTGGGTTGATTACTGTCTAATTTTTTAGTCAAGCGGTGTAATAAAATTTTACTGAACACTTTGTACAAGTTCGGCATCAAGCTGATGGGTCTATAATTGTTAATTTTATTTTTATCTCCTTTTTTATGTAGGAGAATTATTGTTGACGATGTCCATTGGGAAGGAATTTGCTCAGTTTCCAATATTTCATTACATATCTGTGTAAAAGGTTGTATTATTTCTTCCATGGTAAGTTTTAGTAATTCATTAGTTATCATATCATCTCCAGGTGATTTACCAGCTTTCTGTGTTTGGATAGCTCTTCTTACTTCACTTTGCATAACGTATGGGATAGGTTCTGGGTTTGGGTCTTCTTCTAATGTTGTTTTGCAAAAGTATTCGTTCGTATCATCCGTATACAATTCCTTGTAAAAATCTGTTGCCGTTTGTAAGATATGTCGTCGATTAGTTGTAGTTTGTATTTTGTTGTCTTTTCCTTTTTGCGTTGTCTTTGGTATCCATGTTGAATGTTCTCTAAGTTGTTTTAAAGCTCTTTTGATTCCTCCGGTTTTGTTTATTTGTTCTCTAATGATATTAAGTCGATTGTATTGTCTATGGTTTCTGATGGCTTTTGAAATTTCTTTACTAATCTTAGCTATTTGTGTACGATTTTCTTTTCTGTTTATCATCATTTCTTTTCTTTGGTTTATTTTTAATCTGGCTTCGTCACCGAGTTTGTCACTTTTATCTCTTGTTTTAAATTTATTTATTTTTAATAAGGCTTCTTCTAAGATGTTGTATTTTTCTTGTATATTATTTTGTTTCTCAATCAAGTTTAATAATGTTTTTAATTCATTAAGATTTTGTTCTGATATGTGTGTTATGGGCCGGCAGTTTGTTCTGTGAAATTTTCTTCTTTGTATTTTTATTTCTTTGAGCGCTATTGTTCCTTTTACCATTCTATGATCTGAGTTAAAGTTTAGATTTGAGACCACGCTGACGTTGTTAAAAATCTTGGGCATATTGGTAATTATAAAATCTATCTCATTTCTGTCATTGCCATTTGGAGACATCCACGTCCATTTCCTACCTTGATTCTTGGGAAAAAAGGTGTTCATTACTCTCAAGTTATGTTCGAAACAAAAATTTATCATACGTTGCCCATTGTCTGTTCTCTTTCCCTGGCCATATTTACCTATGATGAACTCGCCTTTATCTAATTTGGCTCCTATTTGACCATTAAAGTCCCCCATCAATATGATGTTCCTGTTTAGTTTCTGCATTGTCTTGGTGAGACTATTATAAAATATATCCTTTTCCTTTTCCGTTGCTTGATCTGTTGGGGAATATACTTGCATTATTGAGAATGGGTTTCTGAAGCCAGGTAAATTAATATTTAGGATTCCTATTCTATCCGATATACCATCAAATTCTTCTATGTATTGTTTAAAGTCTCTTTTAACTAAAAATCCTATTCCATGCTTTCCTTGAATCTCTCCTTTGTAATAGAATATAAAATCTTTGAATTCTTTTATTTCTTCTCCAGATCTTCTAACTTCACAGAGTCCCAGTATGTCCCATCTAATATCTTTCAATGCTTCCTCAAGTTCGATAAGTCTTTCCTCTGTTCTTAATGTTCTTACGTTAATAGTTGCTATTTGTATTTTGTTTATATTGTTTTTATTATTTTGGGTAGGTGTGGGGGTTTTTGAGGGTAGTGGTCTGTCAACCCCACGGAGACCAGCCGGGTTGGGGATGTTCCGCTTCCGGTAACTGATATTTAGTTGCTAGTTAGTTTTGTTTCTCGATGGTGAGGAAGAATTTAAATTTGGTCTAGCTCGCATCAAGTCATAAGCATTTGTTCGATATGTCTTGCTGCTTGTATTCATATTAATTTGTTTTTTTGGGTTTGTTTGTTTCTCAGGAGATGTAGATTCTTCTCTTTTTCTTTTTTCTATGTTGGTTGCGTTACCTTCCTTCACTATCAGCCTGTCATATTTTATATATGCAAATTTTCCATTTGCTCTTTCTTCCTTTAGTTGTTCCTGTAGTAGTTTTCGTTTTTCTAATACAGCTTTTGGATAATCTTCTACTATGTAAACATCTTTTAGTCTCTTTTTGTTCTTTAAAATTTCTATTTTTTTCCAATAGTTTGTAAAAGAGATCAATAGAGGTCTGGTTTTCTCTTTGTTTTTTTTTCCAATTCTGTAGATGCTCTGAATATCGCTATCATTCACTATAAGGTTAAGATCATTTTTCATTATTTCTTTTACTGTTTTTAATAGGTCTAATGAGCTTTTCTCAGTCTCTTGTAGTCTAAACAGTAGTACATTATTTTTTTTCTTTTCATTTTCCAGCTTGTTTAATTTATTCTCTAACACTTCTATTTTTACTTTCAAGTTTTTATTCTCTTCAATTATTGGCTGTAATTTTTCTTCCAACTTTTGCAGTAGATTGTTTGTAATTGTTGTAGTTTGCATTTCCATTTCATTTTTAATTTTATCAAAAAATATTTGAAATTGTTGTTCCATTTTCGTAGTGGTTTGATTATTTGAAATGGAAGAAAAGGACGTAATGAAACTGCTTTTAACGGAACGTTGAATTGTGTGCTGTTTCCGAACGCGAATTCAAGTCGTCTGGTTGGTAGTATTGTTTACTTCACTTCACTCGTTCATTGTTGTTATGACAGCTAACCTCAAATTGTATGCACTTAAACTTATAGTTTTGTTCTTTTTTCAGTTTTTAATGTCGATTTGTGAATCCGATATCATAGCACAGCACTTTTAAGTATTCAGTTTCCGCTTTTTAACACGGTTGTACGGTAATTATCTGTTTAATTTTACACTGTTTTTACGGAGTGATTTGCGACGATGTTTACTGATAGGTGACCGGAAGCGGAAAGCCGATGTCTCAGTTACAAAAAAAAAAAAAAAACGTCCACTTCCATTTCAGTTTCCTTTTTGATGTCTCAGTTACAAAAAGGAAACTGAAATGGAAGTGGACGGGGCACACTATAAGGGGACGAGAGAAATGGTGTAAAACTATAATGTACTGGTACCCGAGAGACAGAAAAAGAAACTGAAGTAGACCGTTTAGGAGATGGGATGACGACATTAAAGCAGTTGCGGGCAGCACATGGACTAGAACAGCTGAAAACAGGAGTCTATGGAGGCAGTTGGAGGAGGCCTATGTCTATAATAGACAAACAGATAAAAACGATAATAATTTTAATAATAATCAATAGCTAATTCAGAAATTAATTGTAAATTTAAAAATATATAGTATTAGAATTAAATTAGTATTAAACATATTAAATAATTAATCAAATGAAATAGTAATTGTGCATGTATAACTAAGTATTTTGTCCGAATAAAGGCTCTTAGTTAGTAGTAGTATAAAACTTAGGAATTAACGCGATCACGTAACAGGTATTTGACTGCACTACGACGGTTGTTGGTGACGGTTCACCTGTCATGTGACCACGGCCAGTGATACCTGGTCAAGACGTCAGGCAATTTAAACGTCTGTAATACGAATAAATGATCGCATTAACTCCCGTGTATGAAAAAATTAATCGATAGAATTTAATATTTCTTACATATTCAATGTGTAGTTTAGCAATTAAAATCTTGGTAATTTTCCTTTTTTTGTCACAACAACTGTAAGTAAAAGTGCAGCAGATAACTGCAATCCTTGGTAAGGATAAATTACTCACATATTGTATAAACCTGCTTTTGCCTGCGACTTATTTCGCGTTAATACTGACAACCCTACCAACTTTTCTGTCCTACCATCCCCACTTTTCCATCCCTCTGGAGCAATGCTTTTATTTTATAAAATTTAATTATCCTATTACAGCGAGAATACGTCACTCAAAATAATTTACGTCCATATTTATAATAGTAGATAGTGATGAATTTTCATGTAATACAGATTTTGTTATTGTACAGGAATGGGGTAAAGAGTCTGTGGAGGAAGGCGCTGGACGGAGTGGCGGTCTAGGGGCAGGACGCGCGGTGTCCGCGGGCGCTCTGTCCCTGTCGCCGCCCTCGCTGGAATTTGGACGTGCAGCCCTGGCCGCCGCACACGCACTGACCGTCACGCTCACCAATACTGCCAACACGACCATGCATCTCGCCTCCGTCGCTGGCACCACGCCTGACTTCCACGCTTCGTTCTTTGAGTCTAAGGTTAGTCATTAATACCTTATGTTCGTTATGTGACTTTCGACGTGATTTTGTATTCTAGAAGTTAAACGACAAGGTAAAATCGTCTTTATTTTATAGATGATATTAAAACATAGGATAGATAATATCATGGACAAGAAAAACCAGGACTACGGACTGTTTGAGTGACGGGAAAGTGATTTGTTATTTCTGGAAAACCTGACGCACACCACAATATTTTCCAACGGTATACTTTGCTCACAATTGCTATTTTAAATCATAGATAAACGTTTAGACAGTGTCTGTTAAACTAGATTAGTGATCCTGGTTCCTCAGCTCTCTCAGCTTAGAAGTCAGGATCACTAACCATTCGTCGTGGGTTTTATTCCCACCCAGGACAAATAATCGTGTAATGACCACGATTATTTGTTCATGTAGGTGTAGTTTATTTATAATGTTAAGTAATATCTGCGTAGCAGTTTGGTTACCCCAGTACAGTTTGGGAACAAACGGCTGTGTGCCAGATGTCTCCAGTTATTATTATTGCATCAATGCACCATTGGCAGGGGCAACAAAAAAAATGTCATGAATAAGTCAAACACATCGTGATACAAGCTCGACAGTTACTAAAAGTTACAAAGAAACCAAGTTTCTTTGTAATCTTGGCCAAAGATAATAGTTCACCCAAACGAATGGAACCATCTGCTGCGGCACTTTGGACAATAGAGTTCGAATAACATCGTTTTTGGTGACACAGTTGGTTGATGACAAAAAAAACTGCCACAAAATGAAAGTAAGGATGACATATCAAAACATGTGTGTACGAATATTTCATATATGTCAATATAACTAGGGCTACCAACATTTTATACTTAAAAGGAATTTCTTCGTATTTTGCTCAGCTATAGGATGTCCGCTGTGTTCACGAACAAATATGACTTTAATGTAAAAGAATTAGAAAAAAATGTGTTATTTTATGATTTATCCCTTTCGCTGAAATCCAACAAGAGTGTTGTGTCGTATTTAATATATCTTATAGGACTTAATAAATTACTCTGTATGGTGCATGAGTCATATTAAAATAAACAGGAAAACGGCGAATCTTTGCGCCATATGTGGCGTTTAATATTTTTTTTTACCCAAATTCAAGGTATTTGGGATCGAAACTAAGCTTGTAGTATCAGACAGCAATAAATCTCCTTAGCTTATTTTATATGTAGAACATATTGATGTGTATTCTTAAAAACCAATGAATACGGTATTATTCCTATAATAATATATAAACATGTATGTATTGAACAAACAATTATTATGACATCGCTTGACCGGTCCAACCAGAAGTATTTGATTGTTTTTCTGCGTCTGTTTTTATCACAATCGCTTCACATATTGGATTATTATTTTACAATTATGCTAATGTATATGACTCAACTTGTCCAGGTATTCAAGGACATGTAACGATTTGAGATTTTGTAGCTGGACTCTGAATTAATGCTATAGAACTCGGCTGAACAACCTTCAAATCCTTCAAACTTTAAAGATCGGTGCTATTGTGTCGTTGTGTCATGCTGATTTGTGGTATTTGAAGACCATCTCCACCTGTTGGTTTAGATGTTTGTGTACGGTAGCATAATCTTGATGTGTGGTCCCACCAATATGTTTATGATTTCCTTCTTTCTCTTAACAATGACGTTTCAACGAATATACTGTATGTAACTGACGTTGAAATTTTTACTCCCTCGCTTTTTAAAATCTGACTTATATGTAGTTGCAGAGGTTAGCGCTTTTCACAAATAAGTAGAACAAAAACTCTTCCGATTTGGTACATTAGTATACATTACATTAGTGACATATATTACATTTTTTGAAAGTGGACGAAATTAAGTTAAAGGCACTATTAGGTAATTGCAAAAGGATGCATGTCTGCCCTGTCCTCCCCCAAAATTCCCTAAAACCTCTTTGGGCCTCGCCTAAGAAATGAGGGATCCGGGAACAGCTTTTATGTATTAAGAGTGTATGTATAGACCTTGTCTCCATCCCTCCTCGCACCATGATAGGTTTTTGTTACTGTGGACCGCTTTTAAAAGAAGTATCCAAATGTCGATTATGCAAAACAAATATGTACATTTATTTAAATTATAAATTACGCAATCATATATTTTGCTAGACTATAAATCATTTAAATGTTTAAGCAATGTTTTCAAGGATTTAAGAATAAAACAAAAACAATTCCAGTCTTCATAATACATTCTAGAATAAAATAGCTGATATAAACGGTTGAACAGTTTTGTGCTAATTTGCTTATTTTCATTTTATACAAAAACTTCAATGACCTTAATTTCTAAATATTCTTAGATTTTTTTTTCTAGGATGCGTTTCTTTGCAATTCCTTAGTCGTGGGATATGATAATGTTATTTCTGACAAAGGAGGTAATCGATATTAATTTATATCGGGCGAAGCTTTGCAACCATTGCACTCTGATTGGAGACATTTGTTCTCGTTTAGTCTTCAGAGACGCAGTAACAACTTGTATAGAATCGTGCTATGAAAAATTAGATTATAAGGCTCAAATTCCAATTCATTTTTATATTATAACGTTTTTATTTTATATGTACCTAAGTAAATATTAAAAAAAGTGACAAATTTCTCTGGTGAAAATCTCTCGATAGTTTTTTTTTGCGAAAGTCAACTTTTTGCGTTTTGTGTAGTTATGTGATTGCTTTTAAAAATTGATCAAATTTACATCTCGTGAATCCCAGTCAAGGATGGTTAAACTCAGATTAAATTAATACTTCTTCAAATTCAAGTTTCAAGTAATCTTATAGTTAATATAAATATATATCCTCGTCAGCTTAATATCTTTGGTATGAAGATCGTCAGTTTGTTTGCCCAATTGGCTGCAACACGCAGATGCATGGAACGAGCAGTGTGATAACGTCTTATACACCTGATGATTTTCTTATTCATTTGAAAATTAAAAAAAAACGAAGTTGAAGAAAATCTCTGTACTTAATTAATATGGTTCACATACACGACTGACGTAACCCCACACCGTAATGCAGCTGGCTGAAATTTTTTAGTTTGTAATGATCCGGGAAGTCATTGTACAAGTTTTAGCATGAAATGTAAACTCTCCGAACAGATTTTTTTCTATAGACACTAGCACCTGGAGCATATTACGTTTGTAGCTTTTTGTATTAGGCAGAAACTATATTATTAGCGTTATGATTTTGACATGACCTTTCAAACGTGAGGCGACCTCCCTGTCTATTATGTTTTACAAACGCTACAATATTGCAGACACATCACATCACATCAACAGCCTATAACAGTCCACTGCTGGACACAGGCCTCTCCTTAAAAAGGAGGTTTTGGCCTACTATACCACGCTGGCCAGACGGGTTGATATAGGGTTTGTTTGTTTGATTGCAGACACGATAATCTGTAATACGTAAATATCTAATCCGTAATACGTTCTAAGTTTGAGTGTTTTTTTTCATGAATGTTGAAGTCCCCCGCCACCCAGGATATATTCCTAGTTCGGGAGCTGTCATTTAAAAAAAAAAAAACAGCCGTAACAGTTGCTGTAAATGTAGCCACAAAAGTGTCGTATCTCCATGTTATAGGAACGTACCCGTACCCCGTACTACGAGACCCATTTTTATACTTTTTGTCATCATTCACTCCCTCACTGACCACTTGTAGTAATTTCTAAGTCCCTCACCACCCTTTTGTATTCGCGTATTACTTGATATGGAGTTAAACAATGATTTGCAAACAGAAACTTAAAAAATATATTGATTCATATTTGTCTTTAATATTTAGCGCTTGCTTTATATAAAATTATCTACGTGACGAAAACCGGAGCCCGCCCCCGGCCCCGTCACCTAGCTTGGTATTTTAAAAACCACTCTGCCCCCCTGAACGGGTCACGTAGTATGGCTACCTTCCCTATTCGGTGCCATTCATTACCTACTACAACATATACTACATTATCTAATAATAAAGATATAACTAAACTAACGAACATAAATAACCAAGCATTGGCAGCTGACACTGTTCACATATATCATTGATAACAATAATATCTAAATAGGTACATTGTGGTTGCTACTGCGGTCTGGCTCTCGGCTGTTATCGGTGGACACGGCCGGAGTCGCACGGTGCCGGCGCACACCGGGGTCAAAACGAAATATTCTCACCTTCTCTTTTTGTCATTTTTTCATTTTGACCTCTATTAGTTGAAGAATCATGAAGAGTCATGCTTCATCACAAATGGGCGACAGGAGTGATACCACGGCCTCACAGACAACCACTGTTAAGAAATTGTTTCGTTGTTTTTGACCGAGTAAGTGAGGTTATACTACTGACACATGTAAACCACACTATAAACTTAAAACTATTTACAATTCCATCCATTTATATTTTTGAAAGCGCGCTATGTGTTAGACGAAACTGATCAACATTTTCAAAGGTGTCTAGTAACCGCGGAGCTAAAACCGCCCTATATCACAAAGGCATATTTGTCATGGCACCTTAAATCTATAACACGCTGCTCAAATGTATACAAAATTAATTGAAAAATAAATTGAAACAATTTTTAATAAATTAAGCCTATTATTCTGTTGACGAATATTTCAATGACAAAATAATTTAATATATCTGTAGAATTATTGTAATATTGACATGCTAATAATAATATAAAAATTGACATATACAATACCTATTTAATTATTTGGACTCCATATTTGTACACGCGTTGGTTTTTAGTTTTTTTTGTGACATTTAATTAGTAATTATTATTATTTCTTATTATTATTCATACGTACACCACCGTACGGTGAAGTGGGACTTTAATATAACATTTAAGATCTGTAACAAAGCTATATTCCACAAATAAAGTATTATGAGTTACGTAATACATAATCCCGACCTCCTTCTCTGAATCCTGAGGCGGCAACGCACTTGTGACTCCTGTGTTGCAAGTGTCCATGGGCGGCGGTAGTCACTTACCATCAGATGA